AGTATAGGGTGGGAGGGGAGGTGGGAGACTGGGTGCCTTAAAGAATGTGAAGGTGTGAGCAGCGTTCCTGGAACATGGGAGGAGCAGGTCCGAACAAAATTGCAAGGCCATGTTCTCAGGCCTGTTTGGGGTTGGAGACCATTCTTACATAATAGTAATCTGTATTCTTGTATACTTTCCTTATGAAGTTCTCCATAGCTAAGGTGTTGGTGTAGAAAAGTTGATGACTACACCCAGTGTTTAGGTTTTGCTCAACAGATATAAAGCAAGGTCAAGGAATTTGAGAAAATTGGCAAGGATGGTTAAAACAGTGAGACTTATGGTCTGATAGGATAGGAAACAGAACTAGAAAGGGGGCCATGGGAACAGGACAGGGAATGTTGTGTATTTTATTTTTTGTCTAAGCATTTATTTCTATTAAATACAGGCCATACAAGAACTAATGAAAATTCATGGACAGGATCCTGTTTCATTTCAAGACGTCAAGGTTACTTTTTTCTTTAATTTACGTAATTTACAGCAGATAATCATTTGTATTAAATGAAGTTTTTACCTGAAAGCAACTTATGATATACTGAACCAAGTATTTGCAGTTATTTGTTCTGAATTAATATTTAAGTCATTAGAGACTGAGACCATAATGGGACTAACAGTGTCAGTCTTGTGTTCTCCTTAGAAGCGTTCATTCAGATTGAAAATTAAGAGAATCAGTACAGCCTGTATCTTTTGGCAGTCTTTTCCACCATAAACTGAATTTGGGCAAACTGTTTAGGTTCAGGCACTTTTTTAGTCCACTCCAGAGGGCTTGCTTGCTTTGGTATTATTTAAGGAGACATCAGTCTTACTGTATGAAAACTACTACTATTTGAAACACATGCCACTACTTAACATTTTAGTAATCAGACTTTCCTCAGCTGTAAAACACATGGGGGTATCCAGTACTGGTTCAGGTGAAGTAATGTAATAAAATAACCCATCCCATTTTAACCAAATATAATAAAAGGCTATGTCAGTTTAATATAAATGAGACAAATTTGAAACTATGCAACTGGCAATTTAAAAATGAGTCATTTTATACTGCCACCAACGGGGAAAGGGAAATTACACATACACACCAGATTAAAAAGTCATACATTTACCTGAATTGTTCTAGTCTTTAAAAATGTAATTTAAATACTACTAAATACATTGAGTGGTTTTACTATAAGCAGATTAGAAAACATGTACTGATTCCCCATAAGTAATCTTATAGTGCACTTAATAATACAGAAAAGGTTCTTCCATCTATTCTAGTTATTTTTATCACCATTTAGTGTCATTGTGGAAGACTTAATTCTTTAATAGTCCCCCTATCCATTCCAGGTCCAGAGTAAAACGTTGACATTATTGGAAATGAAGCTTTGTCCCTGTCTTGGCTCGAAAACATTTAAGTTTTTACTTTGAGCCAAATCTGCATTAAATCAAGGCCTTGCTTTATCCATAATTAGAAGACAACAGAAAAATATAAGCAGTTAGCACATATTCAAAGAACACTACATTAGATAGTTTTGCCACTAATTAGCTATGTAGCTTTAACTGAGCTTCACTTTCTTTATAAGAAACATACAGGCATACCTTAAAAAAATTTTTTTTTAATAAATAGAACGTTTGTGGCAACCTCAAGCAAGTCTGTTGGTGCCATTTTTTCAACAGCATTTGCTCACTTTGTGTCTCTGTTTCACATTTTGGTAATTCTCACAACATTCATTATTGTTATTATTAGCTATATGTTGATCTCTGATGTTTGACATTACTATTGCAAAAAGATTACAACTTGTTGAAGGCTCAAATGATAGTTTGCATTCTTTTTTATAGCAATATTCTTTAATTAAGGTATGTACATTTTATTACACATAATGCTGTTGTACACTTAACAGACTACAGTATAGTGTAAAGATAAACCTTTGTAATGCACTAGGAAACAAAAAATTCACATGAGTTGCTTTATTGCAATATTCACTTTATTGCAGTGGTCTGGACTGAAATCAAAATATCCTCAAGGGTATGCCTCTACCTAGGGAATCTTCCACTAAAATTCTGTGTATATAGAAAAGAGATGGATTGCCTGTTAAATGAAAAAGGAAAAACTAGAACAAAAAAATTTTACATAAGCTTAAGTGCTAGCCCTAAATTTTGGATCACTGTGTGATAGAAATTAAATGAATCAGATAGCAAATTTCATTGTATGTTTTCCTTCCTCTCTTGCAGGATGAAATCTTTGACATGGTAAAACCAAAGGATCCTTTGAAAATCTCTCTCCAGGATTTAATCAACAGTAATCAAGGAGACACAGTCACCACTATTCTAATTGATCTGAATGGCTTTTGGACTTACGAGAATAGAGAAGCGCTTGTTGCAAATGATAATGAAAACTCTACAGACCTTGATGATACATGACCTCTCAAAGACTAGACTGTATTCATTAAAGTAATCTTGAATGCTGCATGTAAATCTTTTGACACAGAATCCTTAGAAACAGTCTAAATAAAATACTTCATATGCCTACAGAACACAGCAAATGTTCTGGTTATTGGAATTTTGGGTGCAGTGGTCTGGAAGAAATGGGACCAAATTAGGAGCAGTAAATTCTGGTTACACTTAGCTCAGATATGGCAGGTGTGATCTGGTGAAGGTAGGAGTCCATTTTAAATATACATAATCTTTAGAAATAAAGTTTCCCTGGAATATTTCTGACATTAGTCATTAAGAATTTGAATACTTAAGATTTAAATTGTATCATTTAACTTTGAATCTTCTTCTAAAGTATTATGTATATCAAAGATTACAGAATTCCTCATTCATCAGAGAAGGGTCATTTCATTTCTGGGAAGTATTTGGACATGTTTATTTTAATAGAGTATTTCAGTAAAAAGTATTCTAGTATTTTACTTTAATTAAAATCATTGGTATAAAAAAAATCTGTCTAGCTTGATTAACCAGCACCAGGGTTACATTTCACAAAATTTAACTCCATTTTGTTAAGAATTTTTGTTAGAGAATTTGTTAAGTGTAAAGATTCTCAACTGTACTGTTTAGTTTTTAAGAGAAGAAAGAATAGAAGAGGGTAGAATAGCATGAACCATGATTCAGAAGGAACAGTAATTATTCAAAGGGTTGGAAAGGAAGAAAAAGTGAAAGAGGCTTAAAAATAAGACAAAACCGTTTAATGCATTTATGGGAAATTTTAAACTCTGCATAAATAAAAAGTATAAACGTTTAAGGCACAGTGAATATCTATATAAACATTATAAACTGGCCACTGTTGGACAAGTAAAAATTCAAGAAATGTAACACCTTTATAAATCATTATCTTCCTTCTACTACAATCAGAAAAGTTTCTGAGTCAACTCTTTTACATCTGGTGCCTCTAGAATGAGAAAATTCAGGTCACCTTTAGATACACTTGCCTTTATAGGATACCCAAATAAATATGAGTTTGAATATCTTCTCGAATGAAGATAAAAACAAGGGGAACACATCAGATTAGCATTCTTTACTGGTAAACTACAATTTATGATGACATTATATAATCTGAAGATTAACCCTTTAAGCACTAAATTATATAGTTTATACCCATGACTAAAAAGATCACTATCACATGCCATGAACCACCATACTATGAATCCATGTAACTGAGGATTCCAAATAAAGAATTATCTTGCCTAAATCCTTCAAATTTCAATTGAAGAACTTAGTGGTCAGATGCTCACTGCTAACAGACTTCCATAATAAACCCACTGCACCTATGTTGTTTGTTTGAAGCTATACGTTAGGCAGATATATTTAAGATTGAACTTAATGCTATTTAGAAGATTATTAATAACCATTCATCTCTAAAGGCTCTTTAAGTTTGCGAATAGGTTTTTAGCAGCCCTGTATCTAAAATATACATTTCTCCTTACATTAAGTTATAAATCAAAGTCATACAGATACCGCATAAGATTCTGAACACATACAGGAATATTTTCAAAATTAGTTTCATATTATACTTTTGTGAGGTCTGCTAATGGCACAGTGGGTACAGAGATGGCCAACTGGGTCAAGCAAACCATCCACTGTTGCTACTTCGAAGTGGTTAATGACAGTTAATTTCATTATGCCACCACTGCACCTTGTACAATATTTAACAGTGAACCCCTAGAGGGTTAAGTCTTCATTTGTCTCCCAATATCACCCTGCAACTACTTGACTCAGAGGAGGCATTCAGGATTGAATGACTGACATAACCAGGATGCCATGTGGATAATCTCTAGGTATTACCATTTGAATACAAATACATTGATAAATTTATCCCATAGCTAGTGTTCTTAACATGTTCAAAGTTAGTTATTTAAATCTGAATAACTACTGAAAGAGAAAGTAAGATTAAGTAACCTTCATTAAAAATGGAAACCCGTCTTAATATCTAGTGTTATAAACTCAAACACCTTCCCACGAAATAAAGTTAATTCTCAAGGAAAGAAAATTCAAAATGCTTTTATCGTGCTCCTTTTATTACACTCAGTAAACCATCCTTAGTATGAAATGAATGGTTAGCTATATAAATGTAAGACATAACATGAGAAAATCTAGGGGAAAAATCCTCATTTTAATCTGAAACCGCAAATATCAGCTCCAGTTAGCCTTAATCAACAACTTACCTATTTTTTTCCTTACACAAAGACAAGCTTGATAATTTAACTCTTCCTAGTTGATGGTTAAGGCTCTAGAATGTCCTTACTTTTTTTAAAGATCATTTTAAAACCAAAGCACTAATTTGACACAGTAAAAGCACAATACAAAGATCCAAATTTCATATCTGGCCTTTGCTAGATAGAGCTTAAGAATAAAGAAACATTCTTCCCTTTCCTGATAATAATTTAAAATATAAATAATTGTATTAAGTCCCAAGACCCATTGAATAGAGAATGTGAAAGTTCCTGGTATAAAAACTACCTTAGACGTCTGATAGTCATTTCATTCTACAGAGGGACAGAGACTGGATTTTGTTTGCTTTCTGTAATTACTTCACAATCTCCCTCCATTTCAAAATTGAGATTCACAAATGAACTGGATGCCAGTGTTTCTGGTTGATCAGACTGAACAATGGAATCAGCCTGCAGCTTATTTTGTTGGTATTGTCTTTCTGCTTCTTCCGACATCCTATTTTCTTCTTCTTCTTCTTCTTCCTAAAAAGAAGTAACAAGAATAGTTGAAACATAAATGTCCAAATGGAACAGTATTTTTCTCCCACTTTTAGCACCCAGCACAATGAAATATAGCTTAATTGTGCACATCAATCCTAGGAAAATCTAAGTATTACAAAATTCTAAAATATATTCTAATCTGGTAAAGAATGATTAGAACGAAATGCCTAGTGTAAGGGGGCTATCTCTTGGACAGCTAGAGGATACACGTCTTCATTATGCAACCCATTCAGTCCACAACAAATGAAACTGAATCAAGAAAATGTAAAAAGGAGACATACCTCCTTCTTCATCCGGTAATACTCATCAATTGCATACTGGTATTTTGGGGTGCTGATGCCCAAAACAGATGCAATCTTCTCTCCAAGAAAGTCACAAACTAAAAATATAAAAGTTATTTTTAAAAAAATACAAAAGTCAAATGGTTTACATAATTCCATGTACATTTCTTGAGCCCTTTCTATGTGCAAAGCACTTTAGGAATACAAAATTCACAGTCCCTACCCCCAGAGAGTTATCAGCGTTCAGCACATCTTATCTGTGTATCTTCCTTCATTTCCCCAAGCAACACTAGTGGCTCCTTCTGGGCTCCCAGTAACACCGCTGGTAATAAGCAGTCAAACAGACTGAGAACAATGCCAGCGAACCGAACGGCAAAACAGCAAAATAACTGCTAACAGACCTTTTCTGTCCGTGTTCACAAACATGAAAACTGTGTCTAAATGAGTATAGCTGTTTTTCAGTCCTTTTTTTTCAAAGCACATCCGGAAGCTAAAGAACAAGTTAAGGTGAAGTATAAGTTAGATTAGTGTCTCCAGTGGTAGCTAACTAGCTGCTGAGAAGGGCGTGACTAAACTCCCCATTGTTTTTCCTTCATTTCTGAAACACGCTATTTGGCCAAGTTCCTGTTCTGGGAATATATGACACTGGTTATACAACATTCAAACAAAAAAAGCAGTACCTGAGAGGGTGGATGTGGCAGCTCGAAGCATGTGAAACCATAAGTAGGGGCCCCACGTAAGTTTTGTCTGCAACAAGAGGTTAGGTTAGCAACCTTCATACTTAAATTTATTCTATATATCTAGGCCAGGATGAAGCAGTCAAATACTTGGTGGGTACACAGAATATTCTATAGACAGTATAACAAACAGGCTACAATCCAATAAAAAAAATTAAAATCTTTGTAGACAGAATGTCACATTTAACATTCACCCATACAACTACCATCACCTTAAGTCCATGGAATAACCCAAAAAAGTGGCAGTCACTGAAATGGAGTTGGTAAGTCACAACCTTGATTATTTACGAACTGACAATCCAGAGCCTTCCTTTCTCCTGTCTTGCTGCCTTTTTTTTTTTCTGTCTTCATTGTTCAGAAACATATCAGAGGGTGTGTGCAGTCAATTGAAAGGGATCTAAGGAATCATACATACAACACACTTCTGGTTTAGTGGTGAACTGAGGTTCAGAGAAATTAAACAGGATAAGTGAGGGCATATCAAATGAACTTTTAATGGTAAGAAAATAAGTAACCAGTAAGTGGCAAGATGAGTTTTTTTGTTAATTTAAGGATTACAAAGGGACTAGACCATGCAACCCAAGGAAAGTTTAACATATAACTGGCAGGCTAGAAACACTGGCAGACTGCAATCCACACTACACACCTCATAGTTAACCTTGGTGCTGTAATTCCATAGAATACTTCTATAAAGCTTGACACATAGATGACAGTTTGCCTCTATGGAGGAAACTGGTCATAGGAGCATGCTTCAATATATCATATTTTTGTTTATGAAAAGAAAACACAGTATAGAGCATAAGCTCTATCAAATTACATCAGTCAATGTTTCCATACTGGTTTCTCAGAGAGAAGAAAAAGATAAGCCTTAATCCATAATCTTCTTAGATAAGATATGCTGATGATTATAAGGGCCTTAAAAAACCAAATACAAGAATATCTGTAAGACTGAAAACCACAGACACTAGAAACTGCTTCTTTTCTGTTGGTGAAATGGAAGTATCTTCCTTTCCTGATATCTGAAGCTGACAAGGTTGCCAATTTCAGGGTTATTTCCTTTCTTCCTGGTTAAGGAAAAATTTTCACCTGAGGGCTTTCAAAGTCATTTTGAGTGGACACTATCTGTCTAATCAAGTTCTCATGCAAATTACTTTAAAGAATAACATCATATATTTCAAATATTTTAAAAACAGGTATCTGTAAACCTGGGCAGACAGGCTAAAGCAGAGGAGCAAACAAAATGAAAAGTAGGTGAGGGTATTTTTGAAAGGACGCACAAGCAAGGTAGCTCCTTAGTCTCTCTTTACACAAGAATGGATGTCCAAGCAAACAAATACATTCAAGAAAGGACTGTATAAAAAAATTTTAAAAAAAAGTACTGTATATTTCTGGCTCCCTGATCAAATCTGCTATATCTTCTATATTCAGAGCAGAAGGCATTTCTCATGTGGGATAAGGGTTAGTTCAGGGCTCTGTTTAATATGCTCTAACACTAGTGTTTACGTATGTCTTTTACAGCAAGTGGGACAGTGCAGAAATAAAGGGAATGGAACCAATTTCTATAACACATAGTAAGTGATAGGGCCAAGAAATTACTTAGAAAAAGATTCAGCAAGCTTTTGAATGAAAGTACGTATTTCTCACTGGACCAATTCTCTTGAGGTTGTTTCTACAGAAAATAATTGCTAACGTCCAGGCTGTAACTGGACGTTACAGCCCTGTTACAGAGCTAAGACACTGGATAAGGGTTCCTGAAAACCATCTATCATTAGCACACAAATTTTTTACAGAATGAATGAATGGGGCGTTTTGTTCAGACACTGACCTAGAGTCTGCTGGAATCCTGCCATCACTACCAGCATCACTACTGCCACCACCATCCCAGTAACAGGAGAACTGGGACAAGATCTAGAGTCTTTAAGACTTCCAGTTTATGGGTGCAAACTCTAGTAGATTCATTCTTTTCTTCAAAAATTTAAGTATCTATTTCTTTCTGAATAATGATCCATCTTTTCCTTAATAAGGAACTATTAAGCCTTGCTATCTTGGGACTTTCCTGGTGATCTAGTGGTTAAGAATCTGCCTGCCAGTGCAGGGACACGGCAGGTTCAATCCCTGGACGGGGAAGATCCCACATGCCGCAGAGTAACTAAGTAACTACTGAAGCCTGCATGCCTGAGCCCTTGCTCTGGGCGATGAGAAGCCTGAGCACTGCAATTAGAGAGAGGCCCCCGCTCTTCGCAACTAGAGACAGCCCACTGCAGCAACACAGACTCAGCACAGTCAAAAATTAATTACAATTTTTAAGACCTTTTTAAACCTAAGCATACATGTGTTTTACAACATTATTACACTTTTTCTATCCTGCTGGTTTTGCCATTTACTATACTGAAAATATTAAGCATATTTCTTAAATGCTTCGATTTCTACAGGCAGAAAAACTAGGCCCAAAATATAATCATTTGGAAAGCTCTCCCTTCACAATGTAAAACTTCACAACAGAAAAGTTACCAATAAATATTCACCAGTAACATATGAGACTGTCCATTCCCTTATACCCTCATTAAAGTATATTGTCCTTTTCCTTTTTATTTATTTACTTTTATTATTTTGGCCATGCCTTGCATCTTGCAGGATCTTAGTTTCCCAACCAGGGATTGAACCCATACCCTTGCAGTGGAAGCATGACCACTGGACCACGAGGGAAGTCCCACATCCTTTTCCTTTTTTGAAATTTGATAGGCAAAACTGAGCCCAGATAATTTTTAGTTCTGACCATATTATGAAAGGCATCAATCCACTTATATAGGTAGCAATTATGTGCATAATCAAAGTTTTAATGTGTAATAGTTAAATACACATATATATGCATATTTGAGGAACCCTAAGCAAAACTACCACAGGTTAAAGGAATTACTAGAAATACACTTATTCTTAAGACACGTCTAAGGTAAAAATCTGTGGAAATTATAAAAAGACCTAGGTCTCCATTTCTTACTTTCTATCAGGTACCATATGCCAGGAGTATTATTCTTAAATATTTATTTAAAATATCTGGGCTTATCTTTAACTGGGTCAGTTCTACAAATCTTCTATATAAATATAGGCCAATACCTTTCCCAAACTGCTTTGTTCTCAGATTTATGATGCATTAGAAACAAACAGAAAATGGACAGTCTGCTCTTCACATTAAGTGAAGCTAGATCTGTCTTCAGTGATTAACACCTGAGAGGATAATTGGTACTTTGCTCAAAAAGATAACAAGTTGGTGAGGATGCAGAGAAACTGGGACCCTTAGTTGCTGTTGGTGTGAAAGCAAAATGGTGTAGCCATTATGGAAAACAGTATGGAGGGTTCCTCAGAAAATTAAAAATAGAAATACCATGTGATCTAGCAATCCCACTTCTGGGTATTACCCAAAAGAACTGAAATTAGAATCTCAAAGAGGTATTTCCACTCTCATGCTCCCTGCAGCATTACTGACAGCAGTCAAGGTATGGGAACAACATGAAGCGCAGCGGCAGTCTAGTACTGGCCACAGCAAGGTGACCACTCCACGACTGGCCAGACCTGAAAACCAGCTCGGACTAAGCATGCTGTCTTCCGGTGAAGGAAATACAGACAGGTTTCTTATCACCCAGGTTTCCTGTCTTAGTTTAGGCATAAGAATTCAAACAAATTCCAATGACAACATGTTACATACAGGGTAACTTACAATTTTAAGAATGGATAGGGACTTCCAGCAAAAGAGTAAGAGTAACCCTGAGGACCCACGACCCAGTGAAACTGGTGGAAATTATTTAAAATGAACATTTAAAGCCTTTGGAAATGGTCCTAAGGCTATGTGACAAAGGAGTAAACTAATCAAGAAAATAAAGGAAAATGAGAGTATGCAGTATGTGAACTAAGATCACAGGCCTTCCCAGCAAAGTGAAATGGAAACTCCACTCCAGACTAGGAACACAGGGCTCCTTCTACCCCCAGCTTCCAACCAGAGGCCTTTCTTTCCAGGAAGAACGGGACATTAACCAGCATTTCTCAACCTGCCCAGAAGCTATTCCTGAGACTAACTTCCAGGTGACTGCGGTTGACAGGGGAGGGCTCCCTTCTTCCATCAGCTTCCACTGACATTAACGGAGGCTCTACCTTGAGCATGGTGCAAGTGAGAATGCTGGGGCACTGATCCCAGTCCATTAGCCAGTGGTTCCACGCCAGAAGAGGTGAGCCATGACCTGAGGCTTCCACTCCCAACCTCAACTGAACATTCAGCTCCTAAAGTAGGGGGGTCACAGAGAAATGCACTACTATCCCTAGCCCCCAACTCTGGAGCTCTACCTAAGGGATTTTGCCCAGGAGGAAAAGCAGGCCATCAGACAGATTGCTCCTAATTTCTGCCCATGGGAACTGACTTCATCTGCAACAGAAGTGGAAAAGTCCAAGCTTAAGGGTACTCTCAAAATCAGTGAAGATTTTGCTAAAAGGCACTTGGGAAGAAATTCTTCGATTCTATCAAGATACAGGATCAACTGTAGTTGATCAGCTAGTTTGAAGCAGAGACCAGCAAGTGAGGAGGAAACAGAATTAGTTAAAAGAACCCATAAACTGACTAGACAAATAAACAGGCAAATATTACAACAAAATCAAGACCCTGGGAGTGGAGATTTGGGAGGAGGCAGAGGGGTGCACCCAGAGTTGTTACAATGTATTATCTAAAATGTCTAGTTTCAAACAAAAAAGTATGAGATATGCAAAGACATAGGAAAGCATGACCCATACACTGGAAAGAAAATAAAAAAGCAGACAACAAAACTACTTGTGAGAGTGACCAGATGTTGGATTTAACAGGAAAACTCAAAGTAGCCTTTATAAGTACGTTCAAAGAATTAAGGAAAACATACGGCTTCCCTAGGGGCTCAGATGGTAAAGAATCTGCCTGCAGTGAGGGAGACCCAGGTTTACGGGTCGGGAAGATCCCCTCGAGAAGGGAACTGAAACCCGCTCCAACATTCTTGCCTGGAGAATTCCACGGACAGAGGAGCCCAGTGAAATACAGTCCATGGGGTCGCAAAGAGTCGGACACGACTGAGCGACTCACACACACACACACACGTAAAGAAATAAAGGAAGGTATGATAGCAATGTCACATCAAATACAGAGTCAATGAAGAGAAATTATAAAATAGAACCAGATGAAAATTCTGGTGTTGAAAAAGTGCAATAACTGAAATGAAAATATTAATAGACGGAAAAAGAAAGTGACAGCAATGAGGGGAGAAATAGACAATTCAACAATAACAGCTGGAGACTCCAACACTCCATTTTCAATAATGAATAGGGCAACTAGGCAGCAGATCAACAAGGCAACGGAAGACAAAGAACATTATAAAGCAACCAGACCTAACAGACATCTATAGAACACTCCACCTAACAGCTCTTCCACTGCATGAAACACTTCTACAATATTCTGCATGCATCTGGAACTGCCTTCAAAGTATACTGTGTTACAGTCTTTTGAATATTTGCTACAATAGAGAATCTGGTTCTGATTTTTTTATTAACTAAAATTTATTTATTAGAACCAAATCTGAAGAAAAACTAGTAATAACATTTTTTAAACCAAATCTAAATGAATAATTCTCTATTCTGCTACTCTGCTTCATTTTCTTCATAGAACTATCCATAGTCTGATAATTATAGTATATATTATTACCCTTCTGTCTACTGGTATAAGAACATAAATTTACAATGCCCATTGCTGTATCACCAGCACCTAAAACAGTACCTTTTAGAAAGTCAGTAAATATTTCAGCAACTGAACTCTCAAAATGACTACTTAGAAGGGCAACATTCCCTTTTTAAAAATGTACGACTAATCGTAATTTTATAGTCACATTTTTTATAGTTTAGAAATTCTTAAGTTCAGCTGGTGAGGAACACAGAGTTAAGAACTATAGACTCCTATCTTTGAATCAAAACTTGAGGCGATATAAAAAAGAAGTGACAACCATCAGTGGTATAATATTTAATACAAGGGACAGAAATTCAAGCACTCTGCTTAGTGAAGTAAATCTGAAAGAAACCTATCCATGCTGACAAAAAACTTCTGACTCTCAAAAATAAACTATTCACACTACTCAACATAGGAAAGAGGTCCAGCCATACTGTGTAAAAATACTGCTTTCTACCAAAATCATAACACAATGTTATAACCAGAATATAGTTTATTTAAACCTCAAAAGGTTCCTTCCATTCAGTACTTAAGGGAAACAAATCAGTCAGAACAAAACTCACTGACAAGAGGATCATCAGTATCACACCTACCGGATCAACAGTAGGCAAAACGTCTTTCTTCTCCAATCCATCGACTTCATCTTCATCTGTGCTGTATTCTTCCATTGTTTCACCGCTAACAAAGTGGATGACTCTCCTTGGGACTTTCTTCTTTTTTCCTATGACTCCCAGTTCTACATTTTCAAAGCCTCTTTCATTACTCATCTAATGTCAATAATAAATCAGGAAAAGGAGAGTTTCAAGTGAGGTTAATTTTCTTCCATATAACAACAAAAAAAAATATTTGGAGTTGCTTTATTTAGGGAATAAAGAAATATAAGCCAGTCTATAAACAGCTTTTAAAAAAATAAGACAGGTCACACACACAAAAGAATATCAACAGCAAAAATGAAGGGTTTAACGAACTGAATAATAAAGCAAACCTCTTGCACACTCACCACCAAGGTTAAAAAATAAAACTTAACCAATTAAACTTTTTAAGTCAAAAGCTTAGAAATCAAGCAGCACACTTCAGGTCATAGCAATTCCAATGCTGAATAATATGTGAAGATATGCTGGACATCAATAATTTTAAAGAATTATAAAGGAATTAATGTGCAATATCAAAGGAAAATCATACAGATACATATACATATGTTAGATATGTAATATAAAAAAACAGTTTGTATTAGACAACCCTGGTAAGTCTTTAGATTTGAGTTAAGCTATGTGTGAGCAAACCAAAACCAGTTCAGCTTAATTCTGAACCTCTCCTTTTCTCAAAATGGAAGTCCCGAATTCAAATGCCTTTTAGGTCCAAGCAGGTTCCAAAAATGAGTAAATACTGCTAGAGATGAAGAGTAGAGCTTTTTAAACAAAAGCATGCCCCAACTAAAGACATTAAAATTGAAAAACTTTAAAGCACCATGCAGGCCAAATAAAACTCATTTGTAAACCAAATCTGGAAAACAGGCCATCAATATTCTATATGAGAACTTCCAGACTTCTCAGTCACTAATATATACAGGACAACAGTTTTCCTGATAGTAAAAATATTTTTACAAATTTTAAAACTATAATAGTCTAAGGAATTCTAATTATATCCAAATTTCATTCCTAAGGAAACACTAATTTTACCTCATACATACGGCCAATGTTCCAAAACTTAGAGCAAACACACTTTGTGGGAGAGGATGAAGAGCTTTTCCTTGTCATCTTGTCCCAAGTTTAAATTCCTAAGAAAGCCTCTCTTGTATCTCCTTAATAAGAAATTTCAAAAAAGCACAGCACAAGTAATTGTAAAGAAAAATCTGACAACACTGGTTACCCCTCAGGTTAGGTACAAAAACGGAGAAGGAGGTACAGGGAAAGGAATGGTCAAGTGGGCTTTTTATGCTTTGTGTATTTTGTTGTTGTTTTATTTTCGTGATGAGAATATGTTCATGTATTACTGGTTCAAATTTAAACCTAAACCAAAACCTAAACCTAAACCTAAAATGACTACCATGCTTAAGACTTCAAGTTGGTGGGACTGTCCAGGAGAGTACAGAGTTCAAAAATTTCACCCTCTATAAGGATTCTTTGTGACCCCAAGGACTGCAGCTTGCCAGGCTTTTCAGTCCATGGGATTTCCCAGGCAAGAATACTAGAGTGGGTTGCCATTTCCTTCTCCAAGGGAGCTTCCTGACCTAGGGATCAAACTCACATTTCCTGCATTGGCAGGTGGATTCCATCTGCCAATGCAGGAGATGTAGGAGACACGAGTTTGATCCCTGGATCAGGAAGATTTCCTGGAGGAGGAAATGGCAACCGTCTTCAGGACATGCCACAGTCCACGGGGTTGCAGAATGTCATATGTGACTGAGCAGAATGATAAGGATTCTTACGGTTGGAGATATGCCAACACATAATTTAAACCCATGATTGTTGTTCAAACCAAGAAAAGTTTTTTGAATTGCACCTGCAAAGAGATGGAGTTGCACTGATAAAATAATGGACTTGCCCAGAATTGCCCAGTTATGCAAGTATAAGTAACTTTATTCTTATGAATTATTTCCTGTTAACCCTCTAAAGTCCTTCTTCGAAAACAGATATGGTTCTTCTCTTTCCTTCACTTTCCAAAGGTAAGTTTAGTCATAGGCCAGTATTTGAATCCAGGTACATCCAACCCAAAGAACCCATGCATTGTTCCATGACTCACGTGAACATCACTGACAGCAACTATAACTGGTACAGAGCAAACGGAGATAAAAACCTTGACAACATGGCCTATCCATAAAATAACCTGAAAAAACAAAACTACAATTCTCCCTAGCTGTCCTGGGGTTTCAAATATATGCTAGGCCTTAGTAAAGGAAAACCACCCCTTTATAGTGTCCATAAATAAGACGGACTACAAATGGCCCACCCACACCATTGTTCTTCTATCACCAATCCCTAAGCATGGTGAGCCATTCCCACCTAATCTCATTTTTTCCCCCTTCATATGAAATTTGGTTTATGCTTGTCCTGACACCAATGTCTCCTTTTGGACCAAGACTTTACAGGCAAGGAAAAGTCAGAGGAGCTGGGTTAGATCTCCAGTCTTCATATGAATTGGGTGGATCTGATGCTAAAGCACCAGTCCCAGTCAATGAACAGATATGAGACCTTTTGTAGTCCATCATCATGCCTTATTCCACCCCCACCCAACCCCCATCAGAGCTGAAGAAGCTTTTCATTCTCCCTCTAGCAATCTCTCATTGGTTAAAGTTTTCTTTTCTAAAACACAGGCAAAGGAGAAAGGGTGTCTCTCACTGGTTTAACTATTTTGTCTTCTTTAGACAGCTTTAATGAATAAAAACACTCTGGCTGGGTCATAATAACTGGTATAAATTTATCTACTAACTCCATTAACTGACTCTTGGCTATATTTTTTTCAAAAAGATAAAAAAAAGCTACAAAGAGGAAGGCTAAAACATGATTCACATTTTTTAATTCTAATGCCAAAGTTAGTTAAGTACAAACAGAACTTTGAGTAATACTCTATACATAATATGCAATTTCAAAAGGCATTTTATTTATTCTAATCATCATATTCCAAATAAAGATCTTTATTAAAGAGATTTTCATTTAAGTTTTCTTTTAAAACTTTAATATTCATTTTTGATACAGTAAAACCCAAGCTTTAGGTATAGCAGCTTGAACAGGTATGAGTAAACTTTTCCCACAAAGGAGAGAGAGTAAATATTTTAGGCTCTGAGAGTCATGTAATCTTCATCACAATTACTGAACTCTGCAAAAGCAGCCATGGACAATACATAATGAATGGGCTATGTTCCAATAAAACTTTATACAAGTCAGTGGCTGGTGGGATCTGGCCCACAGGCTATAGTTTGTCAATCCCTCATTTTAAGGAACCAGATTATCAAGTAGAAAAAAAAACCTGTGAAAGAACCTATGCCATGTGATTCCAACCTCTGCTTGGCAAGGACGTGGGGCAGGAGTTAGTTCAGGAAGATACTGATAGGTAAAACCAACCAGAAAATAATTTGATTCAAAATTTCCAACAATTATGAAAGCTAGTCTCTGAATTTGCAAAGGTTTCATTTTTACAGATAAACAATAAACCTGCTGGTAAGAAAATTGTCACTGCCAACTACACAAACTCCATTTCAACAAATGCCAATGATCTGACAAAACAATTTTCTAACACCAGGAAATTATGAACTGCAATGTCAATTAACATTTTATTATCTTTCATGGTTAACCGTACTGTTTACATCTGCTTATCTTGTTTCCTTGGCCTTTTTTCAACAGCAATTGTCTTTTTATATACTCCCATAGTACCCAGGACTTCTTAAAAACATGTATTACGCTTGGAATTTACTCTGCATCATCTTCCCCACATAGGCGATCAGCACCATGGAAGTAGGCACAGTGTGTATCCTTCACTGCTACATCCTTTAGCCTACAGTTCCTGGCGCATCGTGCTTGGCAGCTAGGGTGCTAATTAACCAGTTAAATGCACAAGTAGTATTGAAATTTTAACTTCTTTAATAATACTGAAGCTGAGATTCTGCTTAAAAGTCTAGTCGAAGAAGATACTGAATGGCCTGGTTTGAAACCTAATTCTAAACACAGACCCAAGCTCCTATCTCTTACTTCCTTCCCGACATGGCCCTTGGGATTTCTCAGTTCTGACAAGCAGAGGATGGCAGGCTTTCCTTCCACCCAAGTCTCCACCTCCGTGGCCTCTCCCCTCTTCCTGTGGTCAACGGGGCATAGATCTGGGGTTCCCGGAAACATCGCTGCTACAGGAATGTGCATGAGAAAGCACAAAGGAAAGTTAGAAAACTGTGTGTATATATGAACCCTCTTGTGTATAACAAGATTCTATATATGCACAGGCAATCCCAGAAAGAATACACCAGACACCTAACAGTTACTTTTGGGGAAAGTGAATGTGAGAAACGGGTGATGGGAGGATCCCTATGATTTTTTTCCTCTTTGCTCTATGGGCCTTCTTTACGTTTGAATATTCATTTTATTATTTTTTTAACCAAGAGTGCAAAAATAACATAACAGTACTAAGTTGCAACAAACAGCCTCTCTTCCAACAACATTTATCTGGTAAATCAGTACAGGTATGTATACTTTGCTACTAGAGAGATTCAGAGCTGAAATCGTGATGAAAACAATTCCAGTAACAGGAGGTAAAATCAAATGGAAAACACATCAAACACTGTGGACTAAAAGGGTCAGCTCAAGTATACCTCCTGTCACCAAGAGGTCTCCACTCAACTGAACATGACAAGTGGCTTTGTAACCATTTAGCATTACCCTGAATTGCTTCTTGCAGGTTACCTTCCCCCTTCCTAAGCAGGAGAAAAAACAACTCCATATATAGTCTAGTCTCTGGACAACTTTTTGTTAATGCAAACTACTTATAATATTAGAACAAACATTTGGGCATCATTCTCCAGGAATCTGTAGTTTGGGGGAAATGTCTTACATTCAGGTAGTTATTCTTAAAAATGAAGCCACTCAAACGCTCTGCTCTCACTGAGGATGGGAAGATTTTACACAGAAGCAACTCAGGTTTTTAACATCAAAACAGTGTACTCCGGGGCTGGTTTCTCCCCTGGAGTGGGAAATGGCAACCTGCCCCAGTATTCTTGCCTGGAAAATTCCACGGAGAGAGGAGCCTGTCCCTGAGGTCCCAAAGAGCTGAGCACGACTCGTCACACTACTGAGCACCCAAGCTGGTTTCAGGTAAAGGCATTCCTTCATTAGCTTTACTTGGCCAAAGATCCTACTACTACTATTTCAGACACGAAATCCAAAACAAAACAAACCTCCAAACCTTACCTAATGCTCTAAACTTATGCTATTCAATACATAAGTTAACCACGTGTGGCTAAGGCTCACTTGATATCTGGCTAGTTCAAGCGGAGACGTGTTGAAATACACAAAGGATTTCAGACTAGCACAGACAGACAATGAAATATCTCAGTGGTAACTGTCATATAAATTGCATGTTAAGGTTTGTTTTTTTTTAACAAACTGGGCTAAATAGAACATCAAAATTAATTTCGCTGGTTTCTTTTTAGTTTTTAAACGAAAATACAACTTACAATGCAGATAGCATTATGTCTCTTGGACAGCGCAGCTCTGGGCCTTAGTTACCTCGTTGGTGAAATGGGGATAAACGTACACCTTGGGCACAAGTAATAAGGATTAAATGGGGGGTGGAGGAAGCCTGTAAACACATATTGAAAGTGAAAGTGAAGTCGCTCAGTCGTGTCCGACTCTGCGTCCTCGTGAACTGTAACCTACCAGGCTCCTCCGACCATGGGATTCTCCAGGCAAGAATACTGGAGTGGGTTGCCATTTCCTTCTCCAAACCTAGCTGCTATTTGCTAACCACAGGGCAGATGCCGAGTAAGGTGCTCCCAAAAGGAGAGACTGAGAAGTGACTGTAGCCATCATCACCTGGCTTCCAGCTACTCCAAGGACAGCCTTTCAGGTACACGCCTTCCTTCTAGCTACCGCAGACCCGAAGCCGCAACCTCACCCCGCGGCACTCGAGGCTTCCCCGGAGTCTGCGGCGCTGCCAGCGGAGGGGTTGCCCAGCTGCGCCGCGACTAAAGGGGCGTTCGCCGCTTCCCTCCAGCCGATGCTCAGAGGCAGGGACACCGTGAAGAAGAGCTCCATACGGAACCTCCGGCGGACGGCCTGCTCGAAGGAAGGCCGGGCAAGCCAAAAGGGCAGGCGGCGGACTAGGCAGACAGGAGGAGGGGCTCTCTGGCCTCACTCAGCCTCGGCGCTGTCGCAACCCTGGGCGGCCCCACCTACCTGCTGTGCCGATTCCCTGAACACCGCGGCGGCCGCAGCTCCCGAGGCATTCACGGCTTCTCCCTCCGCACGGTTCTCTGGCTCCCGCTCCATCGTTGTCGCCGCCACAGGACTGCTGGCGCTGGCGAGATACAAGGTTACGGCCGATAAGCCCACTTCCATCCTCCGACTCCCCGCCCAGCTGCGGACCAAGCCAGAGGTCAGGAAATGGGACTCACCGGCAGGGCCCGCCTAGCGCCGCGCCCCGCCACGCCTCGGCGGGAGGGGCGGGGCGGGGGAGGCCTTGGGGGTGGGGCTTGTGTGGGGCGGGGCTAATGGCGCCCCCGCCCATCCGGCTCGGCACCCCGGGCTTTGCCAGCAACGGCCTAGACTACACAACTGCGGGGCGGGGCGAGGCGGGAAGAGGTGGGGCGGGGCGATCTGCTGTAGCGTTTCCGGCCCGGCCCAGGTCGGGAGCTCGCCTCCTGGCACCACCAGTGACGTCATGTCTCGTACCTGTACCGGGAGCCTGGCTTCGGGATCTTCACGCAGCCTCTCACCAACTGCGTCCCGGGCAGTCATTCCCAGACCTTGGTTTCAGTACTGCTGAAATATGAGCAGCTTCGTAGTGTGCTTCAGAGACGTGTGGTGAGATGTGATTGCTGAAAATACGTTTTTTAATGAAAGGTTCATGCTACGTATTCCTCTTATGGATGACAATCTAGCCAAGATAACCTTGAAATAAGAGCCTCGAAGGCGAATTTTGCTTCCACCTATATGAAATACTTTATATGTAACTAGAAAAGTTAAGTGAGACCGGAAGAAGAGCAAAGGGCAGTAACAAGCTTCTATTTTACAATAATAAATGTGAGGAATAATTTATTTTCTGTTTAGGTGTATGTATGTTTGTAAGAGGGAAACTTTCAGACTTTTACAGTTTTTCCCAGTGTTCAACCAAATTAAAAAGTTATGATTGCAATCAATATTGCATTACTCTAGTTGGAACATTTCCAGGTAAGTGGTCTTTTCTTATAGTTTTTTAGTATGAGAATTTTCATGCAATTTTCACCAGTTGTAGAGGTCAAAAATAAAATACACTATTTTGGTCATGAAGAGGAGCTTCATTTGATACTTTGAATTCTATTTTCGAGCCAGTCAGATTTCATAAATACTCCCCAAAGTTATGGCCTAGCTTATCTTCTGTGTCTGCAGACCCAACACCACTACAATCTTAGTTACTCCTTTCTCTCCTATGCAAAATTCTTTTTCTGCTTAATATTCTTGTATACTTTCTATCCTGACTATAACTATGGTGACCTAAAAACCAAATTGAAAACCTTAAAAACAGAAGTTGATTATTTGACAACCATCTATATTTTTTTAATTAGATGGAAATTCATAATCTATTGTTGCTAAGGTACACAAGTGCTGTCTAGTGGCAATAGGAAGGGGTTGAGACAATCCAAAACAGCAAAAACAAACTGCAATAAATTGAGAAGAAAAATAAAGAACCAGTTGTTAAAGGCTCCATGGATTGGCTGTCAAAAACAAGCCAGTTGTTCTACATTACATGTATTCAAAAATCCCTTTCCTGTTAACTGGCAAGAAGTGTAATAAACAGCTTATATAATTGAAAAAATTAGTGGGATGTTTATAATTGCATGATTTTATTTTGCAAATTGCCAATTAAACATCCAATCATGATTTTCACTGCCAGCCACAGAACTTGTTTTCATGGTTTACAAGTACATTTCTTAGTTTACTGAAAATTCAAAACACAAGTCACATTCCAAGATGATCTAGAATAGTTATTTTTTAACACAAATATGCAATTGAAGAGCAGTCTTTTGCAAAAGAACAACTTATAGAAACAGAAAAGCACAGAGATTCTAATGGTTTTATTTGGGGCATTGACATTTTTGTCATTATCTCCAGACTGTCATAGGTCAACTAAAAGTAGACAGCAAAACAACATTCCAAATCTTTCTTTCACTTTGTAATATAAGTTGTATTGTATACCTGTGACAAAAAGATAAATTCAGATATTACTATAATTTACTTGAAAATATAACTGTTACCTAAATTTAGTTATCTAATGATGCATGTAGAGCTAAAAAGGTAAATTTAGTTATACCTATTTCTATGAAAGACTGGGAAAACAAAAATTCAATAACCAGGAGTGTCCATCAGATAAAAAACAAGACTTTTCATGGTTTTGACATAGCTACATATATATTTTAGTAAAGAATATTTTTAACGTTATCCCATTCTTCAAATAGGAAGTTATAGTTTCATAATCAGTCATGCACAAAAAAAATGTTTAAAAGGTGTTAAAAATTAAAATGCACTTTTTTGATTTGAAGCAGTGGCCACTCCTGATTTGGTGAGTTTGGTGAATAATCGCTCTAAAACAATCCTACACACAGAAATGCAAGACCACTAAAATTATGAATTTGCAGCTGCAGCATCTGACCACTGCCACTCAACAGCCACCTCAACAGAAAGACCAAAATTCTCTCCAGGGTTCCTTTCAAGGCTAGGTCCCTGCCTCTATCATAATCAGCCTGGCCACTGGAAGGGTTACCCCAAATTAAAAAGAAGGCCTTATTCGCAGCCCAAAGCTACTCTCGGACCCTTTTCATGAACGTTCTGAGAAATTTGAAAAGCACCTCCCTTTTGTAAACAAACCCTCATGAAGTTCTGAGAAAAGTTTTGGAGTCTTTCCAGTACTCCCACTAACACCATTGGGAGAGCTGGACCTTCTTTTATAGGAGTGAGGCTATTACCACTCTTGTGTCTTGAACCCCACCAGCCTTCAGACCCTCTTCCTTAGACTGCCAGAATGGTCCAAATGGTGTGAGTTCCAAACACGGTTGTGAAGGTAAGTCAGTTGGCCCCCTTGCCTTTTGAGATAGGTTCTTTTCAGGGAACTCATTAGTTACTTCTGTCCCTGTACACTTTTTGGGGCCAAGACCTCCTGGAAAAATTACACGTTAATATTTCCTTTTCCCTAAAAGGAGAAATACACTTTTATTTTGACTCCTCAGAGTCTACCTCCAACTCTTGTCCTGATATTGAGATTCCCCATCACAAGGATTTGTTAGATTCTATTCCTTCTACATTATGGTCTACCTCTTCAAACAACATTGAACACGTTCATTCAGACAGTCGCTCAGTTGTGTCCGACTCTTTGCCACCTCATGGACTGCAGTACGCCAGGCTTTCCTGCCTATCATGAACTCCCAGAGCTTACTCAAACTCATGTCCATCAAGTCGGTGATGCTATCGAACCATCTCATCCTCTGTCGTCCCCTTCTGCTGACCCTTCAATCTTTCCCAGCATCAGAGTCTTTTCAGATGAGTCAGTTCTTCACATTAGGTGGCCACAGTATTGGAGTTTCAGCTTCAACATCAGTCCTTCCAATGAATATTCAGGACTGATTTCCTTTAGGATGGATTGGTTGGATCTCCTTGCAGTCCAAGGGACTCTCAAGAGTCTTCTCCAACACCACAGTTGAAAAGCATCAAATCTTTGGCACTCAGCTTTCTTTATTGTCCAACTCTCACATCCATACATGACTACTGGAAAAATCAAAACTTTGACGAGACGGACCTTTGTTGGCAAAGTAATGTCTCTGCTTTTTAATATGCTGTCTAGGTTGGTCATAACTTTCCTTCCAAGGAGCAAGCGTCTTTTAATTTCATGGCTGCCATCACCATCTGCAGTGATTTTGGAGCCCCCAAAAATAAAGTCAGCCACTGTTTCCACCGTTTCTCCATCTATTTGCCATGAAGTGATGGTACCAGATGCCATGATCTGAGTTTTCTGAATGTTGAGTTTTAAGCCGACTTTTTCACTCTCCGCTTTCACTTTCATCAAGAGGCTCTTTAGTTCTTCACTTTCTGCCGTAAGGGTGGTGTCATCTGCGTATCTGAGGTTACTAACTGGACTTCCCTGGTGGCTCAGACAGTAAAAGCATCTGCCTACAAGGCAGGAGACCTGGGTTTGATCCCTGGGTTGGGAAGATCTGGAGAAGGAAATGGCAACCCACTCCAGTACTTGCCTGGAAAATCCCATGGACGGAGGAGCCTGGTAGGCTACAGTCCATGGGGTTGCAAAGAGTCGGACATGACTGAGGTTATTGATTAGGTGCTATCAATTAAGATCCAGGTAGATCCTAATAAACCTTTGCCTCACCTCAGACAATACTCTCTCAGGCCTGAGGCCCTTGAAGGATTTCATCCAACTGTCAAGGCACACTTCCAGAAGAGACTCATCATCCCACACACCAGTCCCTGTAGCCCACCAGTCTTTCCCACAGGCTAGTCTCATTCCTGAGGCTGGTATTTTGTTCAATATCTCTAAGCCATAAATAGTATAGTCATACCACATCACCCCATAGCCTCCAACCTCACAGCATACTCAGTTTAATCCCTCTGAGCACACAGTTCTTTACAGTTATAGATTTATGTAGTATTTTCTTCAGCCTTCCTGTCCATCCAGATAGCCAGTACCTGTTTGCCTTTACTTGGGAAGGACGTCAGTATACTTGGATCATTATGCCTCAGGTCTACACAGAAAGCCCTACTTACTTTTCAGAGAGTGAGAGACTTGGCCAGTGTGAATTTTGCCCACAGCTCTACTTTTCTTCGATATGTTGATGACCTTTTGTTATGCTCTGCTTCTAAGGAAGCATGCCTCAGGGACAGCCTGTCCTTCTAACTCAGCTAGCACACAAAGGCAGAAGTCTCAAGGAGAAAGTTCCAGTTTGTTCAAACCCAGGTAAGTTACTTGAGTCATGCATCAAGGGCACATCTCAGTTTCCCACTTCCTCCCACCAAGTGCCATTTGAGTTGCTTTTTTGGACTAACAGGGTATTGCAGAGTTGGGTTTCTAATTTCCTCTTGTATGCACAAAACCTTTTTCCCTGCTAAAAGGCAGAGGCCCAATCCTCATTTGGAATAATGAGGCTGAATCAGCTTTTCAAACTTTAAATGTTCAGTTGGCCACAGCCCCTGCTGTAGGGCACCCTATTTTCTTCCCTTTCTGCTATTTGTTCATGAAGTTATTAATAACAGGAAACACCCTTGGAGAGCTCATTCAGTCCCATGGGGGAAAACAGAGATCTATTGGCTTTTAGGGCCAACAGTTGAAGCCTGTAGGTCAAGATCCTTCACCTTGC